ACAAGATCTGTGTACTCTTGGGACATTATAGCACATGTATGGATAGTATTTTTGTGAGAATTATCAATATACTATTAGGGATATTTATAACTATAAATTAAGTATTTATTTCATGTGATTTTAGCGTGTTGGCTCAAAACTGTTTTTTGACATGAGAGATGAATCAGCATTTGGTTTGTAAATTTTTAGTTTTAATTGATAATTTAAGAAACAACAAGCTTTTTTTTATTATTGATGTCGTTTTTTAGATCTTTTGACTGTTAATGAAACAGCTGTGGAAACACCTATAGATGATAATGCAGAGAAAAGCATAAACTCTACGACGAACCTTGGTCTGGAAGCAACTTTTATAAACCAAAATTTCTCACAGCAAGTCTTAAAACGCTCAGAGGAAAAGGAGAAGTTTGATAAACCAAATCCTTTCATTCCTGAAGATAATGAAGAAGAAGAAAAGGTGGCATCCATTGGTTACAGGTAAATTGTTCTTGTATAAATATAGATTGAAGACTAAGATCTAAAAAAGGAGATATTGTGCTTTACAGCGTGTATAAAAAATTAGAACTTTAAAAATGTCCAGCAAATTATAATTTCATCAACATCCATGTATTTTGGCATTGTGTGATTTATCTAAAAGTAAAAACAATCAGAAAAATTTATCGCGAAAATTGGGAGAGCACTTTGTAGAAGCGTCAATTTTAACTTCTTGCTCAAAGAAAATGAAAGGTTTAAAATTTTATTTAATCGACCAGGTGAAAGTTTGTCATGTGCGGTGAAAAATTTTAGAAAATTTGACGTTCACCGTGTTCAACATGTCAAAATTGGACGTTTTGTGTGTTTCACTCCTTTTTTTCTTATTCAAGACTGATAACATGCATGATTGATTGTTGGAATTTACTTAACTAACAAAAAATACTTAATTTGAAGGAAAAACAAGTTTGGCCACACCAAGCCATAGTTTTCTTAACTTTTTTTCAACTTTTTTCATACACCCTGGCATACATGTGCTAAATTTTAACTATCATTGCTTTATGTTTTTAAAACGCGCTGGAAACATGTTTTGACTTATTTATTTCGTAATTTTTTGATATCACAAAAATTATTAAATATTTTATTTCATTGTGTTGAAGGTATACATGTTTTGCCAGCTCGTTCTTCCATTAAGAAGAAAAATGTGATAGTGTACAAGATAATTTTGACTTTCATCCTTCGCTGTGACCTTCCCTCGTTAAAATGTTGTATTAATCTCAACCAGTGAAATCATTTGTCACTTATTTACATATCAAAAATGGAATCTTGGCAATGATATAGAAATTGTTATAAGATGTGAACATGATGCAGTATTGTCACCTGGAACTTACATCAACATAAAGGCTCTAAATGAATGGGAATCTAAGGTACATTTATGTATGTGTAGGGAGGTATGGGAGAATGTTGTCATTACGTCATGTATGTGTAGGGAGGTATGGGAGAATGTTGTCATTACGTCATGTATGTGTGTAGGGAGGTATGGGAGAATGTTGTCATTACGTCATGTATGTATGTGTAGGGAGGTATGGGAGAATGTTGTCATTACGTCGTGTATGTATGTGTAGGGAGGTATAGGAGAATGTTGTCATTACGTCATGTAGGGAGGTATGGGAGAATGTTGTCATTACGTCATGTATGTATGTGTAGGGAGGTATGGGTGAATGTTGTCATTACGTCATGTATGTATGTGTAGGGAGGTATGGGAGAATGTTGTCATTACGTCATGTATGTATGTGTAGGGAGGTATGGGAGAATGTTGTCATTACGTCATGTATGTATGTGTAGGGAGGTATGGGAGAATGGCGTCATTACGTCATGTATGTATGTGTAGGGAGGTATGGGAGAATGTTGTCATTACGTCATGTATGTATGTGTAGGAGGTATGGGAGAATGTTGTCATTACGTCATGTATGTATGTGTAGGGAGGTATGGGAGAATGGCGTCATTACGTCATGTATGTATGTGTAGGGAGGTATGGGAGAATGTTGTCATTACGTCATGTATGTATGTGTAGGGAGGTATGGGAGAATGTTGTCATTACGTCATGTATGTATGTGTAGGAGGTATGGGAGAATGTTGTCATTACGTCATGTATGTGTAGGGAGATATGGGAGAATGTTGTCGTTACGTCATGTATGTATGTGAAGGAGATATGGGAGAATGTTGTCGTTACGTCATGTATGTATGTGAAGGAGATATGGGAGAATGTTGTCATTACGTCATGTATGTATGTGTAGGGAGGTATGGGAGAATGTTGTCATTACGTCATGTATGTATGTGTAGGGAGATATGGGAGAATGTTGTCGTTACGTCATGTATGTATGTGAAGGAGATATGGGAGAATGTTGTCGTTACGTCATGTATGTATGTGAAGGAGATATGGGAGAATGTTGTCATTACGTCATGTATGTATGTGTAGGGAGGTATGGGAGAATGTTGTCGTTACGTCATGTATGTATGTGTAGGGAGGTATGGGAGAATGTTGTCATTACGTCATTTATGTATGTGTAGGGAGGTATGGGAGAATGTTGTCATTACGTCATGTATGTATGTGTAGGGAGGTATGGGAGAATGTTGTCATTACGTCATGTATGTATGTGTAGGAGATATGGGAGAATGTTGTCGTTACGTCATGTATGTATGTGAAGGAGATATGGGAGAATGTTGTCGTTACGTCATGTATGTATGTGAAGGGAGATATGGGAGAATGTTGTCATTACGTCATGTATGTATGTGTAGGGAGGTATGGGAGAATGTTGTCATTACGTCATGTATGTATGTGTAGGAGGTATGGGTGAATGTTGTCATTACGTCATGTATGTATGTGTAGGGAGGTATGGGAGAATGTTGTCATTACGTCATGTATGTATGTGTAGGGAGGTATGGGAGAATGTTGTCATTACGTCATGTATGTACAGCAACACGCAAAAGTATTCAATACACTGGATAATTGTTAATATCTCACGTTCTAATCATTATTTTTTGATGAAAATTGCATGAAATATTCATGTTAGTGTAACAAACAAAATCCCTGAAGGATATTGAAAAGCAATCAGTATTGTATTGTTTATTCAAAAAAACATCAAAATAAGTAACGCAAAAGTATTCAACACATCAATTTAGTATTTAGTTGCAAATCCTTTATTCTGTTTTACAGCAAGAAGTCTCTTAGCATAATTCTTAGTGAACTTTTTGCATGTCTCAGGCGTTATTTGATGCCATTCTTCGAAGCAGAAAGTTTTCAAATCTTCCATATTTTTAGGATTCCTCTTGTGGACATTGATTTTGAGAATCCTCCACAAATTTTCGATTGGGTTTAGGTCAGGTGATTGGCTGGGCCATTTCATCACATCAATTTTGTTATCCGTAAACCATTTTTTCACTAGCTTCGAGGTGTGCTTCGGGTCATTGTCTTGTTGAAACACAAAACCACTTTCAAACTGGAAGGAATCAACCGATTTCTCAAGTTTTTCCGTCAAAATGTCTCGATACATAAGGGCATTCATCCTTCCTTCTATGATCTTCAACTCTCCGACTCCATTCGAACAAAAACAAGCCCAAATCATTATACTACCCCCACCAAATTTAACTGTTGGGATAGTGTTTTTTGGAGCATGAGATTCTCCGCTTTTTCTCCAAACCTTGTTAGCACCATTATGACCAAAAAGTTCTATTTTTGTCTCATCTGACCATACAACAGTGTCCCAATACGTATCTGGCTTCACTAGATATTCGTCGGCAAACTTCAATCGGTCAACAACATGTTTCTTCTTCAGAAGAGGCGTTTTTCTGGGGGACCTGGAGTGAATACCGGCTCGATAAATAGTCCGACTGATAGTATCTTTGCTAACATTTACTTCAGCGCCTTTTAAAGTGCCCCTGTCAAAAAAATGAAACTCACATATATGAATCTTTGTAATACGTACATGCGTTATTTGAAAATCGAATTTCGATTCTGAATTTAGTGCAGAAATTATAGTCATTTGAACATAGAATTTTGAGAAATAAAAATTCGAAAACCGCGCATAAGAGATTGGTACCAAATCAGTCTAGTGACGTCACAGTAGGATCCGGTCAGGCCTATTGATCCACGAAAACATTAGAGCGTGTATTGTCGAAGTGTTCTTGTACTGTAGTTGGCGGCCCGAAAAGTCACGCAAAATAGAAAATGCCAAATAGATGTATTGTGGCTGGTTGCTCTAATGTCTCTAATGTAAAAGGAGTCTCGCTTCATTTCATACCGTTTTCCGGAGATGAAAGGCCAGAAGCCAAAATAAGACGTAAACAATGGATTGATTTCGTACGGTTGAAACGGGCAAAATGGGATCCAACACCTAATTCCAGTATTTGCTCAGCACATTTCGCAAAGAAGATTTTTCGCAAATGTTTTCTGGTCTGTCGGCTAAAGTACCTAGATTAGCTACCGATGAGATTGGCGTCGTGGCAGTCCCTAAATATAATATTGCAGCTGAATGTCCCCCGTCAGCAAGAGCCAAGAGAAGGGTAAGTTTATTCATTCCATTTCAAGAGATTAACGCACGCTTTTTAAAACATGGTAAATACAGTAAAATACACATGAACCTATTTTGAGAATCACTGTTTTGTACATAAATTTGTTGACATTTTCGAAAGGTTTTAAAGGAAGCATTGTCCACAAGTTTGTCTCGACCAGGAGAATCAGAAGAAGAGCCAGAGGATTTCGAACACTGCGTGCCAATGGAATTAAATGTGGATGAAGAGATACCAAGCGATGTTCCTTGCAGCAAAGTATATAGTATATACCTTTATTCCTGCTAGTATAGTGCGATCTTACAATTTGACTTGCTATTCGTGAGCTTTTCTGTCAAAACATATATTGACCCCTACTGACATTATGCATACATTTTAAGAAAGACTTTTTCTTTTAGACAAACAGCGCTTTGACTCAGACAGATGGTTGTGTTGGTTGTGCGTACCTACTGAAAGAGAAAGGAAAACATGGAACAAATATGTAGCTCTAAAAGCAAAATACGATGAATTAGTGAAAGCCAAACGTTCTAAAGGTATCGTGTTTGGCACATAAGTACTACACGTTTCGTGTTTTCACTAGGGAAACCCGTATAATATTTCCGGCATTTATCAGCCGTGGTGCCGGTTATTATAGCTGTATTGCTAAACTCACGCAATAGAATTAAGAAGACATTTTATGTTAAATGATAATTTTATGAAACTTTCTTAAATTAACTTGTTCGATTTGTTTATTATTATGTAGGTGTTCAGTGCAATATACTGAATGACGAAGAGGTCATTCAGCACAGAGCTGAATCTGAAATGACGGCAGGCAACGACGTAAATGAAGAGTCTGAAGACAGCGAAGTTGAAATGGACACGGTTGCGGACGACGATTTTAAAATAGAAGACGAGGCTGAATCGGGAAGATCGGAATTTGATGAATTAGAAGATGAATGCAGAAGGTAAAATATTTGACTTGTTTGTAAATGCTATCTAATTGTGAATCATTCTATGTCTTGATGGCACCCGTATGACTCTATCTTCGTTTAGGAATCCTAGAAAACATACGGAAGGAAGAAAAATACATTGTTTTCCAATCCCAGTTGATGTTACTGTTTAAATTTTGCCATGTTTGCAAGGCAGATAACCCGCTCGTAGAAATGGTAACAGATGGTACACTAGTTGTTGTCAAAACAACCTGTGGAAACCCCGCGTGCGATAAAAGGAATAACATCTGGAAAAGTCAGCCACTTTTGCCAAACACAAAGTAAATGCAGGAGACTTCCTTTTAAGTTTTGCCATACTTGTTTCTGGAGGATCTTCCACCAAAGTGATCAACATGTTTCGACACATGGGGCTTGCTACAATATCTAATGAGTCTTTCTATAGACACCAAGTGGTACGTTCTTTTGCATTAAAAATACTTGGACCGTTCTTTGTTCGAAGAATTTGATAGTATTTCTTATTCTTACTTAAGAAAATGGTGCTTCCGACAATCTTTCTTCACTGGAAAGACTATCAAAGAAAGATTCTTGATAGATTACAGGCTCTGGAATCAATTACCATTTCTGGTGACGCACGACATGACAGCATGGGTCATAGTGCAAAATATGGTGCTTATACAATATTTTGTTGTACTTCAGCTGAAATAATCGATTTTAGTTTGATCCAGGTATAAACAAATTTTAAAATTCAACCTCAAGCAATGTGACTATCATTCAAAGGTTATGCTGATTGTGTCTCTTCCTTAATTGTAGAGAAATGAGGTTGGAAGCAGTGCTATTCGGTGCTATTCGGTGCTGGTCGCTATTCAGTGCTTGTTCGCACTCTTCTATTTCCGTGCAACACTGACACTCTTTAACATTGTGAAGAAGCTCAACTCGACAATTGCCACATTTACACCTTAAAACGTTATTTTCAAAACTTAATAAAGAAGCTCTGTACTGTAAATTTCATTTAAAAGAAATCCCGATGAATTATATTACAAAACCATCAAATAATTACCATTGGTCATATTTCTCTTCGCCGTCAAGTCTACGTTGAAGTTCTTTCAAACGGTCATCATATTTTTGTTTTCTTCCACGGTAGTTAGAAAGCCATTCTTCATCAGCAACTGGTTCATTGCTGTATGGGCCAACGTCTGCGTTGTCATCTGTGCTTTTGTCGTCTTTAGTAGCGGACGCTTCACTTGTCTTTTATATCAAATATCCGGGATAATAATTCCAATCAGAGTCGTCTGTTTGGTAGCTAGTACTTTCCGTGTCTGAGTTCGATGAGGACATTATTAGAAAAATTGAGCGAGTTTTGATTGTAAATATCGACCTTTGTACAATAATTTTTACTATTTGTAAACAAGCTGAGATGCGAACCGGTTCCTACTGTGACGTATTAGTTACCAGGTTTCCGACTTCGCGATTTTAAAAAACTTTTGCCGTTAAAATTTGAAAATTTTGCAATTCATACCGCAATAACTCGGCAAAAATCGTTTTAATTTAATTCTGATTTCCATTTTCATTATGTACATATTACAAAGATTCATATGTGTGAGTTTCATTTTTTTGACAGGGGCACTTTAACTGCTCTTGTATCTCTGAACGGGTTACAAATGGGTTCTGTTTCACTTTTCTAATGACCAATCTTTCACTTGCACCAGTAATCTTTCTTGGACGGCCTGTTCTGGGACCATTTAACACAGAGTCACACTTCCTCCACTTTCTGATGATGCATCCCACTGTGTTTACATTCACATTTAAAGCCTGTGATATCTTCCTGTACCCATTCCCTTTTTGGTACAGTTCTACGATACGTTCACGCATGTCGTTACACAATTCCTTTGTTTTAACCATGGCTAAATAGTAAACACTAAGGGAAACTGAGTTCACGAACGGTTACAGAGGTATCACTGGCCATACTGACTTCAAAATAACGACAGGGACGCGGGTGATTGGTCAAATATTGTCATATTAATATGGAAATGAACCATGATGGGATGTTCGCAATAAAAACCTATAGTAATATGTTAACAACATTATGATAACATAATGTATTGAATACTTTTGCGTTACTTATTTTGATGTTTTTTTGAATAAACAATACAATACTGATTGCTTTTCAATATCCTTCAGGGATTTTGTTTCTTACACTAACATGAATATTTCATGTACTTTGCATCAAAAAATAATGATTAGAACGTGAGATATTAACAATTATCCAGTGTATTGAATACTTTTGCGTGTTGCTGTATGTGTAGGGAGGTATGGGTGAATGTTGTCATTACGTCATGTATGTATGTATAGGGAGGTATGGGTGAATGTTGTCATTACGTCATGTATGTATGTGTAGGGAGATATGGGAGAATGTTGTCATTACGTCATGTATGTATGTGTAGGGAGGTATGAGAGAATGGCGTCATTACGTCATGTATGTATGTGTAGGGAGGTATGGGAGAATGTTGTCATTACGTCATGTATGTATGTGTAGGGAGGTATGGGAGAATGTTGTCTTTACGTCGTGTATGTATGTGTAGGAGGTATGGGAGAATGTTGTCATTACGTCATGTATGTATGTGTAGGGAGGTATGGGAGAATGGCGTCATTACGTCATGTATGTATGTGTAGGGAGGTATGGGAGAATGTTGTCATTACGTCATGTATGTATGTGTAGGGAGGTATGGGAGAATGTTGTCATTACGTCATGTATGTATGTGTAGGGAGGTATGGGAGAATGTTGTCATTACGTCATGTATGTATGTGTAGGGAGATATGGGAGAATGTTGTCGTTACGTCATGTATGTATGTGAAGGGAGATATGGGAGAATGTTGTCGTTACGTCATGTATGTATGTGAAGGGAGATATGGGAGAATGTTGTCATTACGTCATGTATGTATGTGTAGGGAGGTATGGGAGAATGTTGTCGTTACGTCATGTATGTATGTGTAGGAGGTATGGGAGAATGTTGTCATTACGTCATTTATGTATGTGTAGGGAGGTATGGGAGAATGTTGTCATTACGTCATGTATGTATGTGTAGGGAGGTATGGGAGAATGTTGTCATTACGTCATGTATGTATGTGTAGGGAGGTATGGGTGAATGTTGTCATTACGTCATGTATGTATGTGTAGGGAGGTATGGGAGAATGTTGTCATTACGTCATGTATGTATGTGTAGGGAGGTATGGGTGAATGTTGTCATTACGTCATGTATGTATGTGTAGGGAGGTATGGGAGAATGCGTCATTACGTCATGTATGTATGTGTAGGGAGGTATGGGTGAATGTTGTCATTACGTCATGTATGTATGTGTAGGGAGGTATGGGAGAATGTTGTCATTACGTCATGTATGTATGTGTAGGGAGGTATGGGAGAATGGCGTCATTACGTCATGTATGTATGTGTAGGGAGGTATGGGTGAATGTTGTCATTACGTCATGTATGTATGTGTAGGGAGGTATGGGAGAATGTTGTCATTACGTCATGTATGTATGTGTAGGGAGGTATGGGAGAATGGCGTCATTACGTCATGTATGTATGTGTAGGGAGGTATGGGAGAATGTTGTCATTACGTCATGTATGTATGTGTAGGGAGGTATGGGAGAATGTTGTCATTACGTCATGTATGTATGTGTAGGGAGGTATGGGAGAATGTTGTCATTACGTCATGTATGTATGTGTAGGGAGATATGGGAGAATGTTGTCGTTACGTCATGTATGTATGTGAAGGGAGATATGGGAGAATGTTGTCGTTACGTCATGTATGTATGTGAAGGGAGATATGGGAGAATGTTGTCATTACGTCATGTATGTATGTGTAGGGAGGTATGGGAGAATGTTGTCATTACGTCATGTATGTATGTAGGGAGATATGGGAGAATGTTGTCGTTACGTCATGTATGTATGTGAAGGGAGATATGGGAGAATGTTGTCGTTACGTCATGTATGTATGTGAAGGGAGATATGGGAGAATGTTGTCATTACGTCATGTATGTATGTGTAGGAGGTATGGGAGAATGTTGTCGTTACGTCATGTATGTATGTGTAGGGAGGTATGGGAGAATGTTGTCATTACGTCATTTATGTATGTGTAGGGAGGTATGGGAGAATGTTGTCATTACGTCATGTATGTATGTGTAGGGAGGTATGGGAGAATGTTGTCATTACGTCATGTATGTATGTGTAGGGAGATATGGGAGAATGTTGTCGTTACGTCATGTATGTATGTGAAGGAGATATGGGAGAATGTTGTCGTTACGTCATGTATGTATGTGAAAGGGAGATATGGGAGAATGTTGTCATTACGTCATGTATGTATGTGTAGGGAGGTATGGGAGAATGTTGTCATTACGTCATGTATGTATGTGTAGGGAGGTATGGGTGAATGTTGTCATTACGTCATGTATGTATGTGTAGGGAGGTATGGGAGAATGTTGTCATTACGTCATGTATGTATGTGTAGGGAGGTATGGGAGAATGTTGTCATTACGTCATGTATGTATGTGTAGGGAGGTATGGGTGAATGTTGTCATTACGTCATGTATGTATGTATAGGGAGGTATGGGTGAATGTTGTCATTACGTCATGTATGTATGTGTAGGGATATGGGAGAATGTTGTCATTACGTCATGTATGTATGTGTAGGGAGGTATGGGAGAATGGCGTCATTACGTCATGTATGTATGTGTAGGGAGGTATGGGAGAATGTTGTCATTACGTCATGTATGTATGTGTAGGGAGGTATGGGAGAATGTTGTCTTTACGTCATGTATGTATGTGTAGGGAGGTATGGGAGAATGTTGTCATTACGTCATGTATGTATGTGTAGGGAGGTATGGGAGAATGGCGTCATTACGTCATGTATGTATGTGTAGGGAGGTATGGGAGAATGTTGTCATTACGTCATGTATGTATGTGTAGGGAGGTATGGGAGAATGTTGTCATTACGTCATGTATGTATGTGTAGGGAGGTATGGGAGAATGTTGTCATTACGTCATGTATGTATGTGTAGGGAGATATGGGAGAATGTTGTCGTTACGTCATGTATGTATGTGAAGGGAGATATGGGAGAATGTTGTCATTACGTCATGTATGTATGTGAAGGAGATATGGGAGAATGTTGTCATTACGTCATGTATGTATGTGTAGGGAGGTATGGGAGAATGTTGTCGTTACGTCATGTATGTATGTGTAGGGAGGTATGGGAGAATGTTGTCATTACGTCATTTATGTATGTGTAGGGAGGTATGGGAGAATGTTGTCATTACGTCATGTATGTATGTGTAGGGAGGTATGGGAGAATGTTGTCATTACGTCATGTATGTATGTGTAGGGAGGTATGGGAGAATGTTGTCATTACGTCATGTATGTATGTGTAGGGAGGTATGGGAGAATGTTGTCATTACGTCATGTATGTATGTGTAGGGAGGTATGGGAGAATGTTGTCATTACGTCATGTATGTATGTGTAGGGAGGTATGGGAGAATGGCGTCATTACGTCATGTATGTATGTGTAGGGAGGTATGGGTGAATGTTGTCATTACGTCATGTATGTATGTGTAGGGAGGTATGGGAGAATGTTGTCATTACGTCATGTATGTATGTGTAGGGAGGTATGGGAGAATGTTGTCATTACGTCATGTATGTATGTGTAGGGAGGTATGGGAGAATGTTGTCATTACGTCATGTATGTATGTGTAGGGAGGTATGGGAGAATGTTGTCATTACGTCATGTATGTATGTGTAGGGAGGTATGGGAGAATGTTGTCATTACGTCATGTATGTATGTGTAGGGAGGTATGGGAGAATGTTGTCATTACGTCATGTATGTATGTGAAGGGAGATATGGGAGAATGTTGTCATTACGTCATGTATGTATGTGAAGGGAGATATGGGAGAATGTTGTCATTACGTCATGTATGTATGTGTAGGGAGGTATGGGAGAATGTTGTCATTACGTCATGTATGTATGTGTAGGGAGGTATGGGAGAATGTTGTCATTACGTCATG